TGTAGTCGTTGGATTATTATTTTTTAAAGTAGAAATAAAAAAAAATAATTCTAATTTTTTTTCTTCTATAAATACCTAAATGTTGTAAAATCGACTGTGGGTGCAATGGAATAAATGAAACAAGACACAAAATTTACGAGGTTCCTCTACAGTCAGTGTGACTGGAGTACGTCCTCGGGGCAGCAATGGTGCTTTCATTATAATTTGAAATAATATGAGTACAAAGATAACTCTCTTTATTATCTCCCCTCATCTTCCTCATCTTCCTCTCTTCCTCTTCTTTCCTCTCTCTCTCTCTCTTCCTTTCTTCCTTTTCTCTTTTCCTCTTTCTTTCTTTTCTTTCCTCTTTCCTGTGAACTTCTAACTACCTTGGTGTTGTGTGGGCTTTGTATATATATAGAAAATAGGAATCGTATGAAGCAAGTTTTGGTAGACAATGGAAGGGCCACTTGCCCATTATTTAATTCTCATGAGTGGACATCCACTGTTCTACAATACTCCCCCTTGGATGGCCACAAGTTTTCGATTGACTCGTTAAAATCTTGATCTGTTTTGGATGCTCCCCCTGATGAGTATCTTCCCCTGATTTCAAATCATTTAGGTTGATCGTTGATCATTCTGCTTTAGTCTCTTAGTAAGAAGAGTTGCTGAAAGAGTTGCTTTACTTGTTGTTAACTTTCCACAGGCTTGTTCTTGAACTGGGCTGGAGGGCCTTCTGCTAGACTAGCATCGAAGATCTGAATTTACTCCTTTTATCTGGAGCGGAATTTGATTCGAAAGTGGTGGACACTTGATCTTGAATCGGACTTATGATTTCTTCAAAGACTTCGAGGCTTGATCTTGAATGAAATTGTACCGTTAAGAGCTTCATGTGGCAAGTGATCTTCGGTTTTGTCGGGGATGAATCAGCACGTGTTTGTTGTGCTTGTCTCCACATGCTTCAATGTATCATTTTCACTTGTCTTACTTGCTCCCCTTGCTTAAGTGGTATTTTCCCTGTTTTTCCCCTACATGTGTGGCATCTTCTCTTGTAGGATTTATCCCCTGATGCAGGAGAGGAATGCAAACCCTTGCATTTGAATGATTCATCACTTCTTGGTGACTGGAGACCCAGCTCCAACCGTTGAAGATGACTACTCGAGAGCAATACTAGGTAAGCAATCAGGAAAGGTTCCAGGCAGTCGGTTCCTTACCGGGAGTTTGAGTGAAGGTTCCGACATATTGCTTTCTTTATCCTTGTCTTTGCAGGCAAGAACAAGGACAAAGGAAAGGACAAGGAGATTGCATGATATGAGATAATCTTGCTCTGGTCCCTGAAGATATGTGATAATCTTGCTCTGGTGTGACATGTTTGAAGAGGTATTCTCGGAGAGGAAGAAAACTGAGTATTTCGAGATGCTATGTTGAAGATGCATTCTCGGAGATGAGGAAGAGTTAGGTATTCTTGCAGTGTTGCGGGTCTGCCTTGTTATGGAGAACAGAGGTCGACATATATAGAGATTTCTCAATAGCAAGTGGTGGTGCTGTGCTTTTACTCTTGTCAGCAACTGTGGTGTAAATAGAACAACAAGATTTACGCGTTTTCAACTTTGTTAGAGATCTTTGACAAAGTTGCACGCGATATCTGAAAAGCTGAGATTACGTCTGAAAAATGCCAACGAATTTTATTCAGGAAAATCTGGCTTTTGAAATTCGGAAAGCGGTGCCTCATCGATCTTTGAACAAGTGGCTCTGCTGCCTCTTCTTTTATAGAGACATCAATTGTGTTCAAGAGTATGCTCAGAAAGTTGCTGCCTGTAGAAATTTCCCCTATCTTGCACCTTTGAAATTTTATTTTGACCTCTGTTTTTCCTTCATCATTTCTGAAAAATGACTTGCCCATCTAACATTTGTTTAGATTTGAGTCTTAGGAGTGATACAGACGAGCAGCGTCAGGATAATATATGGCGCCCGTCCTTCTTATCTTCTAATGGTCCTCTTACGGTTGGGGACTCTGTGATGAAGAATAACATAACCGCTACTGTGGTAGCTAGGAATCTTCTCACTCCAAGGGATAACAAGATCCTTTCAGAACGGTCTGAAGAGTCGGCCGTTCAAGACTCCTTGGCTCTCAGTGTTCAGTGTGCTGGCTCTGTGTCCAATATGGGCCAACGCCTACTTGCTCACACTCACCAAGTTAAATCATTGATGACGGAGGTGGCAAGTCTTAAACAAGAGATCAGAGGGCTCAAGCACGATAATAGGGTGTTACACGTGCTTGCAAATAATTACTCTACGAGCATGAAAAGAAAGCTCGTCCAACTGCAGAAATCCGAAAGTCGAATTCAAAGTGATCACCAGAGGTTCGTTGCTAGATTCCGAAAGCAACTGATGCCTTCCCCTTCTGGTGTTTTGCTAAGTACTGGGGTGCCACATGATCAATCTCTAGTGCCTCCCCTTTCTGGGGTACTTCCGAGTACTGAGGCTTCACATGAGCAGCCTTTGTGAAGGCTCCATCCTGTTTGTTTGTTTTAACTCATGTGTATGTACATATCTGTAACTTCTTGGAGATATTAATAAATAAGCTTTATTTCATTCAATGTATTGTGCCAAATACAATAAAGCATATACTTTACTAAGATGTGGTACTTCTGGACCAAATATTAATTTATCTTTACCCTCACGAAGATAAATGATTATTCTTAGTGTCTTCATCATATGAGTATTCAACTCATAATCTTCAATCCATATGGTTCTTTTAATATCATAAATATCATGGATACGATTTGTGTTGGTAGATTGTTCGATCTGCAGCTCGAGACAATAGTTCCTTCAACACTTTATAATTTTTCTAGACTCTTCAAGAGTCCCAATTTAATATCATCAACTCTTCAAGAGTGATAATTTAATGTCATTGACTCTTGCAAGAGATTTTAGTATGTTGCAACAAAATCATAATGATAGTACTCACTAAGGCAATTTATATCATCCATTGGTATTGAGTACATATTTTATGTTTTACCCTTCAGAGGCTTACTTCAAGCAATTTGAATCCTTCAAGGGTTTTCTACACTTCATGACACATTTTCCTTTGGAATTTATACAGAGCAATTTGCTCCCATGTATACTTGAGGGATTTACTTATGGAGATATAATGTGGGCGACTCACAACCCTTCGTATATAATTCTCCATTTATATAAACTCGTTTACAACCTTGTGTCATATCATGTGAGTGTATTTCACTGTATTACAAATACCCAATGTAACCTTCTTGGTTCAACATCTTTTGGCTATTTGTATTACATTCAAATATATAGGTCAATTTTCCCACGTTCTTACAAAATTGTAATGGAATTGCCTTTCTCCATCTTTGTTTTTCGTTGAAAAGAACGAGACTCAATATCAACACAGCTCATTGATGATTTTTAGTAGCTACTTGTAAAAACCAAAATTACCATTGGTTATCATCAATCCGTGATCCCATATTCTCATATGCATGCGCATGCATAAAAGCTTTTTATTTCTTTGGATATCTATTGCCTCTTCAAGGGCATGACGCTATCTCTTTCAGGATAGTCATAATTTAGAGAATGTGGATCATAACCTCCTCTTGAGCGTTATAGAGCTTGGATTTTAATCTCCACTTCCGGGAGTTGAGTCATTGGAACCTATATGTCTATTATGCTCTATGTATGAGACATCAAAATTCCCATGTCTGTGGATTGTCCTATCTGGGACGTGTATCCATGCGGCGACTGTCATGCTTCTGGCATGCAACAGTTATGCTTCGGGAATGCAATAGTTCAGTAGTGCCATATTATTCTTCTTTCGAATAACTGAACCTTTTGAGTCTAAAAATCTGCCACGCTTCAGGCGTGCAACAGATAAATCATTTACTGTCTCATTATTTTATCCAACAGAGACATCAATTCTTGTAGGCACATTTGCAGTAAGTATATATGATTTCATCACTTTCGTTGCATCATTCAATTATTCATATTTCATTTTCTCATTGATTGCTTCGTGAATCAAAATAAGACAAATTCTCTTCGTTCTTCTAGAACGGTCTTTTCTCATCATTCTTTTGGATATTTTCTCATCGTTCTTCTGGAACGATGTTATTTTCTCCCCTAATGGCGGGAAAACTGTCTTATCAAAATCATAGTCCGCAAATCATGCGGTAGACATATCCCCAGTCAAGGGTTCCAAATATTGAATGATAGATGATGTTCAACATCAATGCCTAATATGCAATGATGCCTCATTTCAGTACGTTGTGGCAGTCTTACAGGCACATAGACAACACAACCAAAAACTCGTAAATGTATAATGTTTGGTTGGTTCCCAAACCCGAGTTGTACTGAGAAGTTTTGATGGTTGATAACATATCTCAACCGAATTAATAATGCATCATGTAAAGTTTACATGTCCCCATGTAGAAAACTGGTAATTTCGTTTTCATGAGTAGAGCGCGGGTAATCAATTTCATCCGCTTAATAAATGCTTCTGCTAAACCATTTTAAGTATGGACATAAGGAACTTCTGGTCCTTATTAAATAGTCTATGGACTGAGACTTTTATGACATTTATTATAATTAAGTTGAGGCACTGTGGCACTTCAAACTTAAGGTACTTATCAAGAAACTTCATGTCCGATCTTGAGGATCTAGGGACTTCATGTTTGATCTTTTTGCATGATGGAACTTCGGGTCCTATCATTTTATGTGATGAGGATCAAGAAACTGCAGGTTCTGATCTAATCAAGGACTCTAGGTCCTTGTTATACTCATCGTAACAAAAGATAAGTGCAATAAATAAATTAAAGCAATAGGCGGTAATTCCAGCCATAGTAAATAAATTGAACAATAAATAAATTAAAGCTTGTGACAAGGGCTTTAATTCAGCACCATTCACATAAATCAAAACTTAAAGCAGTAGGCGGTAAAACCGTCCATGATAAATAAATTGCTTTAAAGTAAATAGAACTTGTGACATGGGCTTTAAACCAACACCATGCACATAAATAAATATATACATATTTTCTTCTTTCTTTTCAGATGGTGTAACACCATCCAAAAACCTTTACCTTTATTATTATTTTTCTTATTCATTCACATGCTACAACATTCCAAAAACTTTTGGTTTTATTTCTTTTATTTTACATGGTGCAACGCACCTTTCTAAATCATTGGCCTCATTTCCCCTTTTCTTTGTCTATCTCTACCAGTCTCAAAAGCCAGTACCAGCTGGGTTGTTGTGGGGGTTACACAAAACCAATTCAATCCAAAAAAGGCTACCAGAGACTGGCGTTGTTCTTGCATGGCCCAAAGAACATGGCATCGCAAAGCAAGAACCTCTCCATATAGACATAGATGACAGTGAGGTTGACGAAGGCATAAGAGAGGGAGGCTTGTGTGGAGTCAGTCATGCCATCACCATCTCAGACAACTGAGGATTCATGGAGGTCCTCGAGATCCATTGAGAACGACACGATCTGAGTTTCCAAGTCTAATGAGATTCTTCTGGATCTCTGGAAACCAGTTGTTAGGTACGAGTTTTCTTATCTCGTGACGACTTCAGGTCGTTGGAAATTTCAATTCGCACCGGAATTCGGTGGGGCGCTTCCGGCGCGGTGGGAGAAACGAAAAATGGACATACCTTTGCTTGTTTTGCTGCACCTTTGTTTGTCTGTAAGATCTCTCCATCTTTCTTGTCCACGAGAGAAAAAATAGATTGCAGGTCTAGCAGGGATAAGGATTAACACATCAATAGTTAGAGTGATAAAAGAAAAGTGATAAAAGAAAGGTTGATGGAATTTTGACAAGATGATCTTCCCTGTTTGACATGTCTGGCTTGCCGTCTCTACTCTGTGAGATTTTAGCTAACCGAGGTGAGAGGTAGATAATGCTTCACCGGATTTATGGTGTTGTGCTTTCCACTGACATGAGAGCTTTTCGTGCTGATAACGTGTTGTAAGATCGACTGTGGGTGCAGTGGAATAAATGAAACAAGACACAAAATTTACGAGGTTCCTCTACAGTCAGTGTGACTAGAGTACGTCCTCGGGGCAGCAGTGGTGCTTTCATTATAATTTGAAATAATAGGAGTACAAAGATAACTCTCTTTATTATCTCCCCTCATCTTCCTCATCTTCCTCTCTTCCTCTTCTTTCCTCTCTCTCTCTCTCTCTCTTCCTTTCTTCCTTTTCTCTTTTCCTCTTTCTTTCTTTTCTTTCCTCTTTCCCGTGAACTTCTAACTACCTTGGTGTTGTGTGGGCTTTGTATATATATAGAAAATAGGAATCGTATGAAGCAAGTTTTGGTAGACAATGGAAGGGCCACTTGCCCATTATTTAATTCTCATGAGTGGACATCCACTGTTCTACAATACTAAACCATTTCTACACCACCATTCCTCACATTATTTCCACCCTTCCATACTATCTTACCTCATTTTATTTCAATTCTTCATATTCTATTCTCTTATCTCTTCCAATAATCTTTCCTTTAATTTTTTCAATAATTTTCAAATGGCCGCATCTTCAACCAAAGGAAAGGCTTGGATCCAGTAAGTTGTTGTAATCTTTAATACTTTTTTTTGAACAAACGATATTATCTACACTAAGGAGAAGGGGATTGGCTTAGCCTCATAATGAGCTTGTAATAGTGTGGTTCAAACTCGCATTTGGAGAGAATCGAACCTCAGAATCTTCAACCAAATAATTTCTTACAGAACTATAATCTGAACGAAAATTAAATATACCCCCTTCAATTGAAGATTATCTTATCTCTTTTGTTTTCCTACTTGGCCGAGCAGGCTACTCCTTTGCAGCAGAACCATTGATCTCTTTTGGTACAAAAATGATTCTTTGGGACGTCAGGGTGTGTGCTCACCTACACAATGCCCTCCTTCGATATAGATATGTAATATATGCATTGGGGCAGCTATGATTGCGTTAATATGATTGCGTCAATATGGTTGCGTCACCTATCATTGATCAATATGGATTGCGTCCATATGATTGCGTCACTATGATTGCGTCAATATGGTTGCGTCACCTATCATTGATCAATATGGATTATTTAGCAACACGCATAGCAGCATAAGGAGCCCGTAGTTGAAAACCTTATAAAGCAAATGTTATAATAGTTGCATTCAGACCCCTACCATTGTGATTTAGCTTTGTCCCGTTCAATTCTTAAAAAATACCATTTGATAATAGGGAACTTTAATGAAAATGGCTTGGACTATGTTTATTTTAACAAAAAAACCATGCTATAAACTTTATTTAATGAAAAAGAATTAAATTTTAATGAAAAACCCTTAAATTTTAATAAAAATGACAAAAAACTTAATTTTTAACGAAACAGGACACAATTTAAAAAAAAAAAAAAAAAAAACTGACGTGCGTGCAGTACATGTACACCGTTTATGAAATTGAACACTGTTTATAAAATAGAACATTATTTATGAAACTGCACTATTTATGAAACTGAACGATACTATACTATTTATTGGTTCAATTTCATAAATAGTGTCTAGTTTTTGTCCACTTTCATAAAATAATGTCTAGTTCTTGATCATGTTTCATAAATAATGCCTAGTTATTGGGTCTAGTTTCATAAATAATGTATACTAATTCGTAACATTTCATTAATAGTGTCTCTTTCTTGGTCCGGTTTCATAAATAATGTCTAGTTATTGGTCAACTTTCATAAATAGTGCCTATTTTTGTCATAATTCATAAATATTGTCTAGTTCTTACTCCAGTTTCATAAATAGTGTATAGTCCAGTGTTCAAATTATGCCTAATTCTTGTTTTCGTTTCATAAATAGTGTATACTTATTGATCTAGTTTCATAAATGATATCTATTTATTGGTCTAATTTCATTAATAGTGTCTACTTATTGGTGAAGTTTTATAAATAGTGTTTAATTATTGGTTTAGTTTCATAAGGTTTAAAACTTAGACCCTTATTGGTCAAGTTTTATAAATAGTGTTTAATTCTCAGTAATTATATTTAAAAAGCTGTTTTCAATTACCAAATTAAAATTTCCTCACCTTTTTCATATACCTACAAAAATAAATGTAGCTTTCCATCCAATTTCTTGAGCTTAGGTGTCATCTTCGAGAAATTTTTCCTTGTGCCCGTAACACAAATGATATACCACATGTTATTAAATAAGTGTGGTGAAAATTTTTATTTTTTATGTTATTAATTTTTTAACACAAGATTCTCACAACTTGTATGGAGTGTACCATCCTGTGTCCTAGGCACATTGAAAAGTTTCTCATTATCATGATTACTATTAGAAAACAACACCACAAAAATAAAACAGGAGACAAAAATAAAACAGGAGAATGTAATTCAATTCGAAGGTTTTTTTTTATTCTATGCAAAAAAAAAAAAAAAAAAAAAACTATCTGAATGATGGGACAAAAGGTAGGAGAAAAAAAGTGGACTGGGGGGTGGGGGGTACGCGCCCAACGCTGGGTTTGTTATGTTTTTTTTTTTTTTTAGTCTTTTGTCCTTATTATTAAAATAAAGTTAGTAGGTGGTTTTTGATTAAAATGTAAATATTTGAAGCCCTTTTCATTAGTTTTCCTTTGAAAATATTGTTTTCTCAGCTACAAGGAGAACGGTTGTGAGGTCCGAGAATCTTTGATAGTTCTGTTTTCTATATTGCTATTTGAGCACAATGTTTGGGGCGTTAAAGTTGGAATAAGTCTTCTTTAGCAGCTCGGAATTGGTGAGTTCCTGACCACAGAACTTCAAAATCGACTGAATTCGGAAGACTTCAGAGACATACTCATCGACACGCTTAAAGTCCTAAAAGCGGACATTGTGCCAATCGTTCTTGAGTCAGAAACTCAATAGGGTTTCCCATAAAGACTTCAGGTTCTCCTTAACCAGAAATTCAGTGTGCATGACTTCCGCTATTGGAACCCAATTCACGCACCACCATAAGTGGTGGTTGAGCACAAACTCGAGCAACTTACAAAACAGTAAACAACCATAAGCAAGACGCAATGGGCAAGAAAATTGAAGTGCTTAGATTGCATTACCATATATGAACCCTAGATGGATGTATTTATACCATGGGGGAGAGAGACCTTTTTAGGATAAAATCCTTGACCTAAAACCAGGAGAATCCTTGAGGATATCAAGAAGTAGATATTGCACCCTTTTAGGAGTTGTGATTACTTACGACACACGCCTATTCCTAAATTGTAGGAACTCAAAGACTTATAAGATTTGATTGTATCTATATCCATACGATCGCGTGTCGTGTCAAACAAAGTGCTGGTGGCACCACCGCTTTGTTTGATATAGCTCCGACCGGAGTTGGTGAGTCCATGATCGAACTTTTGATACAACTGTATTCAGATCAACCTTACTCTGTCCCTGGAAAATCATGGTCCCATAATTACCCCTAACTATTCATTTGAGAGGTAACTTTTCCCCCTTGAGGATGAATTGTTATCCAAAGACCATGCATTTCGAAGTAAGCTGGAATACATACGGTTTAGTCTTTAGTTTCTTGTCCGCTGGAATGCATGCGGCGTCAAAAAATTATTTTGAAAATTTAGGTAGGTCCGTGGAGTTGTGTAGATCACTGTGGTATATTCATATACCCAAATTGAGCAATGTGTGAGAAGTTATTAGCTACTTTTGCGTATGTGCTTTAAAATAACGTTTTTATAGTTAATTTGCATATAGGTGAGACGTATCCCGAGGATGAGCGTATCCAGGGGCAACTCGGGGGCTACGACCTGTCGACTTACCAGTGAGTGGGCTTTTGTTTTCAGTATATATGTATATACTCAATATAATTCCTAGAAAATACATTTTAGGAACGTATGTTTTGAAATAATATGCCGAATGCTTATATAATTTGAATATGCATTGCCTGGTTGCATATAAATAAATGTGGTGCTGTAGAGGCACATGTGAGTTCAAGTAAGTTATGTTTGGTTATGTGAATCATCAATGATGTGATATGTGATTGAATAAGGTCGAGCTCATAAAACTGCACTTAGGGTGATTGATTTAGCCAGAGATATGATACAGGCCTGTTATTTTGTCACCTCCTGCACCATATGCTCACATTGGATCCAATTTAGGTGCACAATCTTGTCGTATAGACCTTATTTATGGTTCTGACTCGTAGGTGACTAACGAATTATCGCCTGGCTATTATGTGAGAGTAATAGTGAGCATGATTTTATTACACCCTCTATTGTCGTACAGACCTTTGCTTTTGGTTCCGACTCTTGTGCAGTATTATGTTGTACACGTCATGGTAGTGACTCCGGCTAGATTGATTATTGAGCTATGAATTTAGCTGTATAGACTACCACAAGGGTTCCGGCTAACATATCATATTCCTATGAAATTATTCTTACCTGAATTGTTATTTTGTTATATCTTGGCATGGCATACATACATTTTATGATTATGTTAAATATGATTGAATTGATTTGATTCCTTCTATATACATTTACATATGTGCTTATATTCTAATTTTGGGATAAATTATACATGTTTTACAGCGAGGGGTTAGTTATGTTGATAAATGAAATGGTTTTGTAAAACATTTATTTTTGCTCACTCACGTTTTCTGTTTTGCACCCTTCCAGGTTTTGAGTAAGTTTTTTGTTGGTGGCTCGAGGACATCGGCTGTTTGACTTACCTAAATAAATCGTAGGACATTTCATGGTACTGTATAACTAGTACTTATCCTACTGGACTGCACCTAGACCGTATGCTCTGATTAGGAGTGTTTACTGTTGTAATGAACTCCTATCACTTTCGTTATAGTGCACTATAGTATTATGGTTTTTATTTATTCGTATATTTGCTATCTTTATCGCTTCCGCACTGTGCACATGGCTACGTCACTCTCACGTGACGACCAGCATGCCTTGACCTCGGTCGGGGTGTGTCAAGGATTCTCTCAACTTAGAATAAGGATTCTATCCTAAAAAGATTTTTCTCCCTATGGTATAAATACACCTAGGGTTTATCTACGGTAACACAATCTATACACTTTAGTTCTTTTGCCCACCGTTTGAGTCCAAAATCATTCACTAATTTAACCGTCGGAGAGCCTTTGGCCGGCACATCCTCTAGTCCTAGGCTTGCTCACGGTTGTTT